GAGGATCAGCTGCAAAAAGCTGATAAAAGTAAGCACACTTTCTGTGGACATGCTGCATGCTGCAAAGTAAAGAACTGAATGATGGAGAGAGAAAAAACTTTTGCTGTAAGGAAGGAAGGGAGGAAGGGAGGGAGTGGAAGTGAGGCATCCTTTGCTGTTTGCTTACACCTGTGCTGGTGGTGATTTCTTCATTATAGCTCTTATTGACTACCCAGCAACAATCTGTTTATTCATCTCTTGCAGTGCAATAACAATTCATTATAAGTGTTAAAACTTGAGATGGTACTGTAATTCCCACTCATTGTGTGTCATCCTGCTGTAGAAGTCTGCTTCATGATTCTCCACTTCTGGTACATGTATGACTTGTGAAATGACATGCTTGAGAATACAACAGTCCCAAAATACACACACACACACACATATTTACATACTCTGATAAACTGGGCAGGTTTTTTGTTTTTGTTTTGTTTTTTGCAGAAAGGCAGACGCTGGGCCATCTAATTCAGCCAAGTATTCAAAATAAAGAGTTCCAGCTATGTTGTGTAGTCATGGACAAGCTGCACATTCCCAGATAAAAATGCTAAATCACTTCTAAACACTCTTTACCTAGAAAACCTTGGAAAGGCTGTCATAGGTCAGAATCGACAGCCTGCTATTGTTATCATTCATGATTCTATTTAAGTATCTATAAACTTAAGAGTATGCTAATTTTCTGTTTTTAAGAACTATGTTGTAAACAGCCTTGGGATTAAGAAAGAAAGAAAGAAATTACAAGCAACCAACCAACTAATCCGCACACACAGACACACTATGGGCACTTCAAAACACAGCAGAGGCAAAATATTCCAGAATCAAGGAATAATCATAGGTGAAGCCAAAATAGGAGTTGAGTAAAACCAGAATCAATAAAAGGATAGTCTTTGTGCTGAGAACAAGTCAGCAGTTTAAAATGCAAATAAGGAATAATACTTTATGTTTACAGTCACTGTCTTCAATTTCTGTATTTTTAAAAAACAATCAGCCGCAAACAGGACATCTTGCTATCTCTGCAACTCCGTCAATAGTTAGTACTGTTTCTAAACAGTGGGCTATTTTTTGAAAGCTGTCAAGAAACTGCCATTTTCTCAAAGGTGCCATCAAATTCTAAGAACGACACATGAATCCCCAGTCTGTACAACAAATGACCAAAAACCTGTTACCTTATAAGTGAAGGCTGTGATTTATTAGTTTGAGAACCACTGAGCGAATTGCATCATCTGCTCCATTCCTCTTCCAGACCTTCTCTGACCTCTCTGCATTTATCCCCTCCAGTCAGATTTGTCCAAAACTAAATTGTCCATTAGAACAGGACACAGGATCCTGGCTTCTGTGGTGCTTTATGAAATTAGTTAAAGCATTTGAGAACTGTTTAGATGGTACAGAAGAAACCCCATGAATTTTGATATAAATTCCTTGCAATTCTTTGCGGTTGATGCTGGCATAACTGCAGTCAACTTCCTCTTCTACTAAATACACATGTATTACTGTCAATTAAAGATACTATTCTAAGCAGCTTGCTGTGAGAATGAAAAAATGTGGAGCATGCAGCGTGTCAGAGGATTTTTCAAACAGTCTCTATATTCTTTCTGCTAGCTATATGAATATGATTGAATTCATCTGGAAAGGTTTGCAGTTTTCAGCAAATTACTCTGGATTCATATGTATGCTGCTTTGAGCTAAATAGAGGACAGGCAATATATGTGTGTGTGTGTGTGATGTATAAATAAGTAAATATATCTCTGAAATGTGTAAGTTGATTGTTGGAGTGTTTTCTGGGCATGAACTAAAGATGGTGAAACAGGAGAAGTAGGATGGAATTGTGAGACCAGCCATTCTCAACCTTTTTGGGGGCCGTGGCTATAAATCAAGATGGCCAGAAGTAAAGCATAATAGCAAAGGAGTGGTAGTTCACATTAATTTCGAATGTGTTCAGATGCATATAATATGTAGTATATGCTGGGGGAACACAAATCTCCATAGAGTCTGAACAGAACGTTGGGATAGATCTCAGGCCCTGGGATGTAGATTTGGGGCTGGGACCCATGAGCCTAAAATGAGCAGCATTTATAGTTGTGAGAAGTGTTTTGTTCAAAGGTATCCGTGAAGACACATTTGGAACCAATCTGAAGCCCCTTGCATAGTAAAACAAGGTGCTCTGCTACTAAACTACAGCCCCCAGTGTATATTGGACAACATCCAAAAACAGAAACTGACTTAATTACACAAAAAAATTGCATTGAACCGTGTTGACTTATTTTAGGGATGGGGTATAAAAATAACTTAAAGAAAGCCCATATGCATTGGATACGAGGGACAGAGTAGGGCTCAGGAGGTCTGAATTCAAATCCTCACTTGGCCAATGGAACTCATGCGTGTGTATATCCCGCGGGTAAAACCACTCAACTAACCCAAACACCTTGAAAACCCATTAGGTGCATCAGATGCAAATAATACACAAATATAACGGGACGGTTTTGCCTATGTCAGAAGCAACTGTTGAAAAACCCCCACAAATATAATAGGTTTTGATCTATTCTAAGGATATTTACCTACAAGCAAACCTCATAGAATTAGGCGGGTTTGTTTCCCAGTAAAAGGCCTGTGGTCCGATGCATTTAGGCAAAAGCAACACTCCCTGGTTACGCCCAGACACTTCTAGATTTGCACTGGGCAGCCTGCTTTTAGATCAAACCAGAGCAAATCCAATTTCCTAGACGCATTCAAACGAAAAGAGAGCAGGACAACGCGAGAGCCCTGATTAACAGTTACCCAATCGTAAATTCGACGCACTGCATAGCAAGATACAGGAACAGAAACGACAGCTGTCCTGCAACTGCCAAAGGCGAGCTCTCCACCACCACCATCTCCCACCCCAGCCCCGCTGACTTGCCCTGCGTGTCTTAAAGAAAACATTTTCTTCTCCCCACAAAATGACCCTTTCCTGCGGAGCCCCGCTGCCTTCGTGAGCCCAACCAACGCGGGAAGAGAGGGACACCCAGGAGGGAAGCATCTCGCTTGGAGAACAGCGCTGGCTTGCTTGCTTTCCCCGCCTCTCTTCCACGGCCAGGCCGCGTCTTGGCCCTGCCCATGGCGATTCCCATGGCAACGCCGAGACGCTCTGGGTGATGCTGGCATGGCAGCCAAGGAGAAAGAGAAGGCCAAGGAGAAAGAGCAGCGGGAGAGTGTCCTTATAACGGTGCCTGCTGCTCTGTCTGGGCAGGTAGGTGGCCCGAGCTGTCCTGCTTTGCCTCAGTGACTTTTCCCGCCTTGAGTTAGCCTTCCTGTTTTGTCCTTCTGATGGGCACAGCTGGGAATAAGGCACCCTTGCGCGCCGTGGGATTTACTTCTGAGTAGGCGTGAAGCCAAACTGGCCGCTCCCTTGGGCGGCAGCTCGAGAGGGACTTCTTGTTTCACATTTAACGACCCTCTCATTAAGGCACAAGCTACTATTTCCATACAGTCCTTTTCCCCCTTATGTTAAAGGGGAAAAAAAACACCTTACGTTGAGACTTGAGCCCCCTTTTTTAAGTTACTAGATTTTTTAAAAGTCACCTTACCCTTACTAGGATAGTTTACGAAACTTAGAAATACATGGGAAGGCTGTAGTCCTAGACCCACTTAAGGAGAAGCATTTTCTGAGTAAAAATATGCCTTGCCTTGTAAAAATGTTTTGTCCGTACTTTGAGTACATTCTATGTATGTTCACTTAAAAGTAAGTCCCACCAAGGCCAGTTAGACTTACTCACAGGTGGAGATGTAGAGGGCTGCAGCCTTAATCCTTTGCTGTTGTTTCTGACTCGTTTGCATGTAAATCCTTACTTTCTGTTTAGGGTTCAATTTTGTACACACTGGGCATCAGTCCCAATGAACTCAGGAAGTTTTATATCTGAATAGCAACATAGAGGACTGCCCTGTTCACGTGTTATAGGTTTTGCCTGTATTCATTATGGCATACTATATTTTCATATCCTTGTTATGTAAGTAAATGTAGTTTATAATAAAAAGTACTACATTTATTGAAAATGTAATGAGACGAGGAAACTGTCAAAAACATCTGCCACTGTCTGCTGTGTCACAGATGGAGATATCCAAAAGAGTGCTCTAAAGCCTTTCTGAGTGCATGAGTAGGATGAAGATTATTAGCAGAGAGAGAAAAAGAAAACCGTAAGAGAATAAGGGGTTTTGTGTTGATTAGAAACGGGAGTAGATATTGGTATCGCTCATAGCACTGGTTCTTAACCTTGGGTTTCTCAGGAGTTTTGGACTGCAACTCCCAGAAGCCTTCACCACCAGCTGTGCTGACTGGGGTTTCTGGGAGTTGCAGTTCAAAAACATCTGAGTAACAAAGGTTAAGAACCACTGGCTCATAGGAAGCTTTATTGTATTGAGTCAGATCATCATCCTGTCTGACCCAGTTTTGTCAACTCTGACTGGCAGGAGGGGCTTCCCACAGTCTCTTTAGAGATCCTCAATCTCTCCCATTTTCCTGTCCACAGATCTTGCATCCATACCCACTCCCAACCAGGAGGCAACTGACTCTCTCCTCTTTTCACTTCCCCTACCCCTGCTTCAATCTCCTCCCTCCTCTTCCTTTCCTTTACCATCTTTTCTGACTGGTCCTCCTCTACCTTCATCCCCCTCAGCTCCTCTGTCATCGCCTCTACTTCTGCCCCCTGTTGAGACTTCTGGGGTGCTTCATTTGAGGGCAGCTGAGGTTCTCCTCTCTATCTTCTGCCTTGTTGATGAGGAGGAACGGTGCTCCAGCGAGCGGGAGTCCCAACTCCTGTCTCACATTGTTGGGGTGTTTTCTGGGCATGAATTAAAGATGGTGAAACAGGAGGAGTAGGATGGAATTGTGAGACCAGCCATTCTCAACCTTTTTGGGGGCCGTGGCTATAAATCAAGATGGCCAGAAGTAAAGCATAATAGCAAAGGAGTGGTAGTTCACATTAATTTCAAATGTGTTCAGATGCATATAATATGTAGTATATGCTGGGGGAACACAAATCTCCATAGAGTCTGAACAGAACGTTGGGATAGATCTCGGGCCCTGGGATGTAGATTTGGGGCTGGGACCCATGAGCCTAGAATGAGCAACATTTATAGTTGACTTACTTTAGTAAACCAACTGTGTTGACGTACTTTAGGGATGGGGTATAAAAATAACTTAAGAAAGCCCATTTCTTTCTGAATGCATGAGTAGAATTAAGATTATTAGCAGAGGGGAAAAAGACTGTGAGAATGAGGGGTTTTGTGTTGATTAGGAACGGAAGTAGATATTGGTGTAGCTCATAGGAAGCTTTTTTGTATTGAGTTAGACCGTCATCCTGTCTGACCCAATTTTGTCAATTCTGACTGGCAGCAATGGTTTCCTACAGTCTCAGGCAAGATTCCTACCAAGCCCTATCTAGAGGACTCTGGTATAAATCAGGTTCAACCCTTCTTAGCTTCCAGAATCAGATGAGTATGCTGCAGAGTTGAAGAGAATCATTGTCTTGTATCTTAAGTTTCTGTCACAATAAAGTATTATTTGGTTTCTATCAACTATGCCTACTGCTCACTCACTACCATTAGTATATCATCTAAAGACTCCAAGTTGTGCTTGTTTGAGGGGAGGTATCTGGGGAAGGGTCCTAATGACATGGCACCTTGGGCCCAGACATGGAAAGAGTCCAGTAGTTACTCCAGAAGGGGAGGGGAGTATAAGATTTGCAACTGGATCGTAAGGGCAAGCAGGAGAGCACATATTCATTTGGAGAGGCTAATACATTTTGTGGATTTATTTTCAGAAGTAAAACACAGGTTTTTAACATTTATATGCATGTGCACGTGTGCATGCTTTCCTGATTTATTTGTAGTTACCAGCAATTTCCTCTCCATCTGACTTTCTTCCCCCTTTATTAAAGTTAAACATTTCCTTAACACAAATTTATTGGATTTTTTGTTTCCTTCTTGAGCCACTTTCTCTTTTATTTTACTTTTCTTCCTAGTATGTTTTGTCTAATTTTACATTTCAGGCCTGCAAGCAGTGCTTATTTTATTGTTAACTGTTAATTTTTGTCTGGCGTCTAGTGATTTTCAGTACTTCATGAATAAACATTTGACTGAGGAGATTTAAAGCAAAGGGTGGACTTCAGTTTTCTCTGTTCTTACTTGAGATTAAGCCCACTAAATGGTCTCAGAAACCTACCTATGAGAAGTGAATATACACAGGATTGTTTAGAAATCTGCTATATCCTCCTTCCTGTGAATAAAATGCATTAAATTTGGTACATTAGTTGTTTTTTTCTGCTTAAACATGGATGCAATTAGGTTGTGAATCATCAAATATAAAGTGTTCATTCAAACAGTGATTTCATTCCAGTAATTTGTACTATGCATTTGTTGTTGTTTTTAGTTTGGTTTTTTAAAACAAATGTGTGGTCCTCAATACATGTCGATGTCTAGTTTAAAAAACTGGGAGTTGCTTTATACTGGTCCATGGTTTGTTATTGTCTACACAATTGGTAGAATCTCTTAAGTTTCAGGAAGAAGACCGTCTCAGCCCTGCTTGAAAATACACTAACCATAAATCAAAATGTTGGCCTTGTTTGAAGACACCTTGGGACATCTTCATTCCTGATGTACTATTTGTGCAATGTAAGCGCTGAGTTTTCAAAGTGCTTGTAGCACATTTTAAAATTAAATTACAAGCAAGCAAGGAAATAAAGGTACTATCACATTTCAGCATTTACAGGTCAGTAACCACTGCTGTCTGTCACAATGGAACCTTGATTCAGGAGCCAATAGTTGTAAAGAAAAGGCGGGACTAAGGAAATATAAGAAGAATGGATGACAGTTAAAGATCAGTTAGGCAGGATTTCAGTTAGAGTTAGGGATGAGTTAGGGATATGAGTTGGAGAAAAGCAGTTTAGGCAGTTAGGACCAGTCTTGTGTAAGAATAGGGAGATAAGGAACAAGATAAGAAATGAATAAATACCTTGAATAACATGATTATACATACGCAAATTTAAATATTATCAAAGCATAGTTGATTGAATGAATAATATAAGACCATCCAGTGATAGATAGGGGGCAAGGATGAGGTTCTGATCTAACATATACGAAGTACTGGATTTACAATTTAAGATAACACATGCTATTTGATTCACATGTACTTACACAAGTAATCATACCTTGTACCTGTAATTGAAATATTTCACTATTTCCTTACTATAATGATATTCTATATGCATTTTTTGTATCTGTACCTTATATGCATTTTGTATAGTCAATGCATTTTTGTGTCCTCATTTCATCTCAAAGTAACTGTCTCTTCCCGCTTGGCACTCACAGAAACATTCCCAAGGCCAACTCAGAATAACATTCACAGCGCTTCAGGCGACTGTAGCATGCTTCAAAATACACAATGGTTCACACATTCACAAACTTGGCAGCCACTAACCCTGGGATGCAATTTGGATATTTTTCTCACATCTACCATGGCCAATAGGATGACCCAACAGGCACACATAGGGTTCAGGAGACCAATAAAGGGATGCTGTGCTTTATTGTCCTTTGTAAGAAGCTTATAAAATGCTTTACCAATGTATGATGAACACACCCGATCTGCCTTTTAAGACGGGAGTCCAGCTATATGTTTAATAAAAATAACAATTGACTCACATATAGTCTGATTGATGCACTATCTTTATCTGTTATTCCCTGCTGGAGAACTAAAACCAACTAAAAACCTAAAGTTAGCTGCTAACACATGATTAATTTTATATGATTTACTTATGAACACTTAAATAAACATTTTTATTGAATAACACTGATTTAAGAGTTATATTTGATGTAAATATATAATTTGTATATTTGTATATATATGTATGCTCAGTAAACCAATAGAGCCCCCATTACACGTGCATTAACGGGTATGTTTGCATCTACAGGCATGTGAACGGAGAACTAAGTGTGCTTATTTGTAGAGATGTATGGCATAAGTTTGGGCACGTTATTTTTTTCTACACTGCAACGTAATCATTTTATCTTTTATTGTATTTTAATTGAATTTTAATTGTTGTAAGCCGCCCAGAGACCTTTGGGTAGAGTGGGTGGCATATTGGATGGACGGACGGACGGACGGACGGACGGTCGGTCGGTCGGTCGGTCGGTCGGTCCTCTGGTGGCAGTGGAAAGGGTTGAAAAATAAATGTCACACCCGAAAGTGAACCTGGG